TAATCAGCGATATAATTTCGTCGGACATTTTATCGGAAGGCGGATAGGAATTTCGAACGAACGGGCTCTGTATTATTGATCCCGGCAGAGTGGCCGAGAGAGGAATTTGTCGATACGAATGAAATTTCGGATTGCGCTCGATAACAGGTTTAAGTGGCGAAACCCGCCATTGTGTGGCGGTTTTAATGACGCGGTATAATAATTACACGCAGTTATCGATTGCTTTCCGGTTACCATTGACCAGAGAGATATATCAGATCGCACTCGACACGACGAATATTCAGGCCCTCGCATCTTGTTAACGATATTCCATTACACGGAATGGAGACACGCGTGCCTATGAAACACAAATAACATTTAAGCAGCGTGTTAAACGAACTGATTTTAACGAACGCCTCTTTCGACGAGCTCTTGTAATTAGCGGGATTGTTGCCTCCTTTTCCCCTCTTTTTCTTTCTTTCTTTCTTTCTTTCTTTCTTTCTTTCTTTTTTTCCCTCTCTCCCTCCCGCCCCCTCCCCTGTTCTACGACGCGAAATAATCGAAGATGATGAATCCAGACTCCGTGCTCGTTGGATGTTCGACGTTTCGTGCGCGGTCAATAACCTCGCACGAAACGTTGATCGATAAATGTGCAACTATATCGCGGTCTCTAATTATAGATAATACTCCCGTGGAAACGCCGAGTTGCACTGCTTTTCAAACTTTCGACGTCTCCGAACGCCAGGCTGGATATAAATCCAGTGATCCAGTGACGAGACATTGGTGTTTTATTCGAGTGCGAAAATACTCTCGACGATTGCATTGACAGTTTCCGAATGCTCCTTGCATATCGCAGGAGGGATGTAACTTTGTCACTTCTCTTTCGTCGTTATACACGTTTCGATGTATACCATTTGTCGCTTTTATACTTGAATCAAATACTATTTATTTACAACTTCCATTCCATACCGCGTAATATTTTGAACAGCTAGCGAGACTTCTAGTTGAAAGAAATTGTCAGGAGAATTTTCGGAGTTTTTAATGTCAAGAGTATTACGTGCAAGACCAATCACACCAGAAGCTATTCAATCCTATTAACGTTTATTACTAAACCATAATCTAAATCTGATTTGTGGTACGTGTAGCGTACAACGTCGTTGCAGAGTGCGATGTTCCTCAGTATGTAACCTCACAAGAATGCAAATGTCGCAAAATAACAATCGTCAATAAAATTGCACAAATGATAACAATAATATACATAAGCAATAATGCTTAATTCTAAGCTTAACCTACTGTTTAGAGTTATAAAGTAACGTCGAGTTGCTTGTGTTAAGGTTTGATATAGTGTTGTCATATATATTTACTGTTAACAGCTTGCAGTGGAATTATTATTATACAAGAATTCTTCACGCTCGTAACGCAACATCAGACACGTGCGTCATTGGTTAGACTCTCACGTGTTTGTTGTTAGAATCATCCAATTTTTTCCCCCCTGCTGCATTTCAGGGACCGTGAAATATTAAAATTCTGTCGAGCAGAGCTGCCTTGGTTCTTCGCTTCTATTTTGGAACAAGACAAATTGCCGGCTACGGAATAGACAAAATAACGACGTTGCCAAGCTTAAGACGCGGACCATGTTACTCGCGAGGAAATACCAGAAAGAGGTGAACGGAAGAAGGAGTAGACGATCCCTCCTGGGAAATCATCGGCGTCCTTACTCGGTCCTAGCCTGCTTCATGGTCCTTCGTCCCTTGCGCTTTCTATCGTCCCTTTTCCTTTTAAAGGAGAAACGTCGCCATAATACTCCGCGACAATCACCTTCGTTCGTTCCTCGAATATTCCGTTCGAAGGCGATGAACTTTCAAACGATAAAGGTAGCCTCGTTAACCTGCTCGAAATCACACAGCCGTGTTAAAAATAATTCGCGCAGAGTTTTGAAGTTCGCTTTGAAATCCGCGATGTAGGTACGCTTACGCCGGTTGCTTATTTCGGAATTTTCACTTTGTGGTACAGTTTAAAAGTCGACATTTGTATTATCCAATGAAATTCCGTCAAATAACGCGATGATTTTTATTTCGTAATTTCGTACGATGCTGCGACGGCGAAGGATACCGATTAATTTGAGTGAAATTAACGTTGAGTATACAATTTGCGTTGCGCACTGGGGACACGCCAGTTGGTTGTTCCGCGCGAAATTATTACATTACAACGCACCGTGAACGTTAAAAGGATCGTGGTTGTTGCAAAAATACTGCACAAATATAACAATTATTACGTATCATTTGTATTTAATGAAAAATGCCTCGTCGATAAAACGTCTGTGTTGTATAAAAATCTGTAACAAAAGTTACGTTTGATATGAAGTTTTGACTATTATAAGATGACACGCTCGTCGTATAAAGCTTAAAATGCCGCTTACGTCTCGAACAAATTTTTCTACTTGTTGTCAATATTCAATGCGACGTACGATCGTTTGAATCGAATTGAAAACGATACCAATCGTCTCGATATTTTTTTACAGGTCGCGTTCGTTAATTTCCGTCTAACTTGCTCTCGGATTGAATTGAATCTCGTCGAATAATATTTGCGTACCAAACGTTTTTTTCGTTTGTGCCCTATCTCTCGATTCGCTATCTGTTACTTGAGCCGAGATGCATACGGATTTCCACGGATTTCGTGTATGTATATTTGTGCGCTGAAAGATAAATAATATCGCGTGTCGATATCGCGCTGCGCGCCGCCAGAGAATTAGAAAGGTTACTTTTTTTGCATAACGCGTGTTTTTGCAATATCGGAGTGCTCCAGCATACACAGGTGAATTAAATACCGAGCAGCAAGGGATTGGATTTTTTCATTAAATGAATATGCATTCGATCGCGATTCATTTTTTAGTATTTATAAGGCTTTTGAAGGCAGACATTTTCTCGTTTTCGTTGACAAGCAATAGATTGAAGTTTCAGCCAAATTTCGAATGATAGGTTATGCAATATTTTGTACGGAAATACGTTTAAAGTGTTGTACGTGCTTACGATATTCCAAAAAATGTTTCGCAGTTTACACTTTCGTATTGAAATATTGAAAGTTCTTTATTATGAATATAATGAATTCGAAAAGCATTTTAAATAACAAGATCCGAATATTTCCGTTATATTTGCTAGAATTCAATCGTGAATAATAATTTAACTACGAGATACGAATCTGAAATTCTTTTTCCGATAGATAAATAGTTTCATCTCAGAGATGGCTATTATCCTTGTAAACGATTTGACTAAAATTAAACTGGTGCCCACACCAGAAAATAAATAAATAGTAACGCTAATATAATTTCACGTGCAACAGTCATACTCATGAAATTCGAACAGAAGCAGACTTTCAAGAAGAAAGAAATCCGAGGTCTATATACCTACGCGATTTTCTTCCATTTTTGTAAGAAGAAGGAAACACGATGTGTAAAGAGCTCCGACTATCACGTTCCACTACACTCTCTGTGTATATACACGTCCAGTACAAATCGTATAAAAGCGTATGATCCATACGTCCCTTTTATCCGTCTTCTACGAGACTCTTCTTAACGAACTCGATTTCATCGGACACGCAACAGAGACGAATTCCGTATTTCACGGACGGTCGTAAACTTCCGTTCCGATGTTATCAATTTATATTTCCACAAGGCGGCCGTAATTCAGAAGGGGAAATCATAACTTGATCCCCTTACGTATAGAGAGGCGACTGGTATACCGGTGGCTGTCCTCCGTCGTTTTCTTCCGGTGGCCGATTCACCTGCGGGAGGTCTTATCTCGCTGCACCAGCCGTACTTCACTTGCTCGGCTTACCCTCCTTTTCCATCCGCTTCCACTCCACCACTCCTCACCCTCGTAATACACACAACGCAATCGCGCATTCTGAGAAAAATTCCGGGCAAGCTCTTTCTCTCGTTGTCATGGCCGACACTGAGACGCTTTTACTCTACTTCCCATTCGGACTCACGCTATCGCCAGCGTGCACGTGAGGATTATTTCCAGTGGTTCAGTGCGTATATACGTGTGTGCACGTAGCGCGAGCTTTCATTCTATGTGATTGCGTATCGACATGGTGCAACACATAGCTTCGTAAGTGAAAGTTGACGAAGTGATCAGTAGTCGAAGCCAATCATATGTCAGACACCGAGATAATACAGTTGTCTAAGTCAAGTGGCTTTGAAATCTTAATCATGATTGTTCGAGACGATTTCTGTGCTCATGTCAAATTGATAATTTATTCATAACGGGTTCTCCAATCTGGCAGTTTGAGTGACAAGATTTTGACTTAACTCGCAACTTCTTTATATTTAGTTCAACGACTTATCAGAAGCAAAGCTCTCGCTGAACCTCCGACTGTGCGGTATCGTTATTCCGAGTGACCTGTGAACGAATCACGGTGCACGCGCGTTTCCCAAGTGCGTCGGCCGCGTAATTTCTCCCCGTCCAATTTCCGGCCTTCCGCTGGAAAAATCGTTTATCCGTGCGTTACCAAGCGTCCTCGAGGATGCTCGACGAGCCAACGTGTACGGTTTCTTCCTACGGTCTCGTAGACGGGGTGGAACCAGCTCCGAGTACCGGTCATCCAACCAGGAAATGTTTTCTCCGCCATTGCAGCAGGGTTGACACCCTTCTCCTTTATCCAGAGTCCCCCCAGCACTTGTATAGGCGTTTATCTCGAGTCTCCAGACCGCGTCTAATGTGCTTCGTCTTGACATACCCTTTTGCTTCTTGGCTGGTTCTATCCTTCGAAGATTGCGAATTTGCGAGGCAATCGGTCGCGGCTCTTGCGAGAACACCTCGTTCTCGACGATGGTGTACGATGGCAGTAACGCCATAATTCACGGTGTAGTGGTTCGCAGGTGTGCCGGATCGGGACGTGTCGTCGTCTTGATTGCCGGGGCGTCGAGTACACGATACTCGAATCCTCGTGGCTCTATTGAACACGCGATGTTACGTGTCAGGGAAGGGCCGTTAACCGCGTTGCTCTTTTGATAGACTCAAGATCGCTGCCTGATACCGAAGGAGCTCCTAGTTATCGCGTTACCGGAACGTGCTCAACCGGAGGCGCGCGTAATTGAATGCAAACACGCGCGCACGCGTGTGTGTAGCAAGTGGGTGGTTTACGAAAACCCGGTTCAAGACGCTGAAAGATGAAAATGTACGTCGATGTAGTGTCGCGTACTTATCTCATCGCTCAGACGCAACCATCTACAGGTAGAAAGAGTGCATCGTTCAGTCGATGCTGGAATTTGGCACAGATCTTTCTTACGAAGCTTGGAGAAATATTTTTTTAAGAAATGCCAAAACATTGAGAGTTGGGTTTCGGTGGATGGTAATGCAAGTCAAGTATAATTTCATAATATTAATTACGCGTGTATCCCTTTCCCGTAATAGCTCTACCACGAGAGAGAACGACGAAACATTCCTTTAACGTGGGCAAAAACTATGTAAGATTGTCGAGTCTCGATGGCGTATTGCTATATTGCCATCCTCGGCAATTTTCATTAAATCCTCAAGCTGTTCCGTGCACCATTCAGAGTACACAAGAGATTAATTACGTTAGATAACCTCTGCGGTGCTCATTTACCATAATTTTTTACCATTTTCGTTATACCCGACCTACTTGACCTGGGCGGTCCTCCGCTTTCCCGTTCAAAGCGTACAAGAGATTAATTATATTAGAGATTATCGCACAAGCAGCAGCCGGCTCCTTATCAACAGGATCAACCGAATTTTGGGATTAGCTTCGATGGTACGGCGCGTTGAATGCGACGTTATCTTCCGCGCAGTGCAGTAAAATTGCCGACGCTTTTTGGTGTCACGAGGCGTATAAACACGTATAAAGCTTGCTCCTCGTGTAGATGGTCTACTACGATAGTCCCGGTTTAACGACGCCGACCCTTGGTAATAAGAGGCGTCCCGGGTAACTGCAACCACCACCGGCGAACCAACACCTCCAACTCCAACCTACAAGCCGGCTGCGTCTCTTATCGCTTGGTGTTCATCTGCTTCGCTCGTCGCACACGACAGTCATCCGTTATTTCTATTTAACCGCACCTGCTGACGGAAAGTAACGACGGAAAATTGGATTCCCCTACAGCGGAGAATATTTCATTTTGGATCACTGTTACGTACTGTACGTAACAGCGTGTACGCGCGAACGATATATCGAGGTCGTAAATTGCAGCATTAAGCGGATACGCCGATTGATTTAGCTATAGCCACGGCTTTACGCACCTTGCACGTACTGGGGTAAGTAGTTCTCTTAATCTGCAGGAGAGAGAGAGAGAGAGAGAGAGATTTGACAGTGGAAATATTTCGA